GGGCGGCAGCTGAGGTGGCCCCCACCCGGGGGGTGGATAAGTAAAATGTGTGAGGACATGCTCCAGAATGCTGGGTTGGAAGGAAGGGTTACCCACAGCCAATATGTATCCAACGTTCCAGCCACAGCCCGTGCCAGGGTGGTAATGAGTGTTGGTGGAGAGGGAAGGAGGTGATGAGGGTGGACTCACACACACGCACACACATTCACACACACAGAAACTCCTGTGGAACAATGATCGTGTGTGTTGGATTGAGGAGTATGATGAATGCAAAGCCTTTTTGCCTCAGATCCCAGAACTTCCTCCTCCTCAGGAGATGTGTGTGAATGCACGTCCAGTTGCAGGTTTCCAGGTCAGCCAGCCACTTGGGAAGGAGCTTCGTGCTGGGTGCCAGGCCCTGCCCTAGGTGCTAGGGACCCACAGTGACCCAGACAGCCAGCGCCCACCTGCAGGTTGGGAATTCTCATTAACCTTTCCTGGCAACAGACCAGGTAAGTTGTTGTATATATCTAAGACTGACCAGGGGTCCAATACGTGTGGGGCCTGGGAGGATGGTCCTGGGGTTACTCATGACCTGTGGTGCCTTTGGGAGGCACTGGGCAATTCACGAAGAAGAAACTGAAGAGAAAGTCCTTTATGATGTGAGATTAGGGAGCACACGGGTGTCTGCCTCCAGTTGTTTTTTCACAGGAGCAACTTTGTGTGAGATCCACAATCTCTCTTTTGAGACCCCTCATGTGGCTGTTCAGAATCCACATATGGCCCTAGAACACGTTTTCACTTTAGTGAGTCCTAGTCAAGGTCACTGCAACTGAGATCCTGGCTCTGTCAATGCCATCCTCTGGCTAGTTGGTCCATCCGGGCAGGGACTGAGTAAGAGACAGATTGCTACCAGAGAAGACTATTTTGTACTTTTCCAGCATTCTGTTTTTATTTCGCAGATTTTTTTTTTTTCTGTTCAGGAACAATGATGAAGCTGGTAGGCAGAAGTGGATCAGACTTCACAGTGTTACAAAGGCAGTCCCCAGACCACCTCTGTGCATGCCCCTGGAGATAGCAGAATATTTACCTATTTATCTGTCATCCAACAGACTTTTACTGAACTCTTCCTACTGTTCTAAGTGCTAAAGTTACAAAGATGAACGAGATACTTCCCTTGAAAGCGTATAATTCAATGAAGCTAAAAGTTATCTTTCCATGGGAACAAAACTATGTATACTTGTCAGGTTCCCAGGCAAAGCAGCAAAAGCCTATTTAATCCATAAAATAGCTTAAATCTAGAGCTAATACAATTACACAGAATTCTGAAACAGAAATGGACATACCTCATATAACAGAAAACTGGGGCCAGGCATGGGGCTCAGGCCCATAATCCCAGTGCTTTGGGCGGCTGAGGCAGGAGGGTCACCTGAGGCCAGGATTTCAAAACCAGTCTGGGCAACATAGTGAAACCCTATCTTTACAAATTTTTTTTTTAAAGCACAGGTTCATGGCATGTGCCTGTAGCCCTACTTGGAGCCCAGGAGTTCCAGCCTGGGCATGAGAGCGAGACTCTATCTCAAAAAAGAAAAAAATGAAAAGAAAAAGAAAACCAAACCAAAGGGGAAAAAATAAAAAAACCAAAACCAAAACAACAACAATAAAAAACAAACCCCAAACTGAAATAATTGGCTAAGGAAGAGTTTCCTTATCTTTTCTTGGGCTCATGAACAACCCCAAGTAAATGTTGAAAATAGGTCATTCTTTTTAATTTAGAAAAAATATTTTTAATTGACAAAAATCATACATATAGTATTTATGTTGTACAACATGATTTTAAAAATTGTGTTTATTTATTTAATTGACACATTGTAATAGTACACGTTTATAGAGTACAATTTGGTGTTTTGGTAATGTATCAGGGCAATTGGTGTATCCAGTATCTCATGCACTTATCATTTCTTTAAAAGATTTATTATTCTTAGAAGAATCTTCAAAAAACTCCCTTCTAGCTATTCTGCAATATGCAATATTCTATTGTTAATTATAGTTACCCTACTATGCAACAGAACACCAGCATTCTCATAGGTCCTCCTCTTCCCTCAACACCCTGGTCTCTGGTGACCACTCTCTCTGCTTCCAGATTCCTCATTTCAGTGAGACCATGCGGTTAGTTTTCCTGTGATTGGCTTGTGTCACGCAACATGATGCCCTCCAAGTTCATCCCTGTCATCCCAAATGACAGGGTTTCCTTCTTTTTTGCCAGGGCTGGGTTTGAACCCACCACCTCCGGCATATGGGGCCGGCACCCTACTCCTTTGAGCCACAGGCGCCACCCAGGGTTTCCTTCTTTTTAATGTCCAAATAGTATTGTATCGTGGACTACACCACGTTTTCTCTCTGTCTTCACTCACTTTGGGGTTTGAAGGTTGAGTTCATGTGTGTTCTAATGTGTGCAGATATTGTGTGATGGCAAATTGAGCCACTTACTATATGCATTACCTCACAGACTTGTTTTTGTGGTGAGAACACTTAAAGTCTATGCTCGTAACCATTTTTAAGTGTATGATATATTGTTATTGACCGTGGTCTCTTGAACTCCCTTTTCCTAACTGAAATTGTGTGTCCTTTGACCCACGCCCCCGTCTCCCACCTCCCCAGTCCCTGGCAACCACCCTTCTGTTCTTTGTTTCCATGAGTTCAGTTAGTTTAGATTCATTACACATGTTTAAGTGTGATTTCTGGGTCTTATTTACTCTCTCTAATCTCCTTTTTGCATCTTTCTCCACCTTTCCAAAATCTCAGAGTCCTCACATGGTCTGTCTCATCTCACAAGATGGTTCTGACTCTGTGATTATTCACATCTTTCCTCCAGTTCTTCAACACTCCTGATGACATCATAGCTTTGAGGGGGAAATCTGATCAAACGAATTCACATTTCACGTTCCTCCCTCAGCAGATGTTACGTTTTGACAGCTGCACTTGCTCCCTGCTCCCACTCTTCCCGAGGGTCTCCAGTCTACTTTTTAGGTGTTTTTTAAAGGATTTATGCATTTTTAATAGTTCAAAGGCATGGAGTCACTGTATTTCTAGATCCTCCAATTCAGATATCCATGTGCATAATAAAATCTTATAATATTATTTGGAAATACTATTTTGAGACTTGTGTGTTGTTCAGAATTAGGCAAAGAATTAGAATTAGGTTTAGAATTAGAAATTAGAATTTGAAGATGGATTACTGTCTTCACAGAATCTTTTATCGAAAACAAGCTTGCTTGTTAAGAAAAACAATGATTAGATTCCTTAGCATTAGTATTTCCAAATTTAACTTGATATTGATTATAATTCAATGAATAAACGTGTTTACAATATATTTACTTCTATCATAATTATTATGACCAGTTAAGAATTGTCCCAAAATAGGAAGAAAACAATAATTAGATTCACCAAGACTGTTATTTTTTCTTTTGTATCTTTCTTTTTTATTGTTTGAGATTCATTGACGGTACAAAGAATTAGGTTACACTGATTGTGGTTCTTAGGTAAAGTCCCTCTCGTAATTGTCTCCCTGCCTCAAAAAGTGTGCCATACACCATGACCCTCCATCCCCCTCCCTCCTCCCCTCTCCCTGCTCCCTCATTCCCCTACCCCACCCCTTGTATTATTAGCTCATCTACTTCCTTCATATTAGAATTGAGTACACTGGATTCTTGCTTCTCCGTTCTTGTGATGCTTTACTAAGAAGAATGTGTTCCACCTCCACCCAGGTTAATACAAAAGATGTAAAGTCTCCATCATTTTAGTGTCTGAATAGTATTCCATGGCTGTTTCCACATTTTGGCGATTGTAAATTGAGCAGCAATAAACAGCCTACTGCAGGTGTCCTTATGAAAAAAGGAGTTTCTTTCTTCTAGGTAGATGCCCAGTAATGGGATTGCAGGATCAAATGGGAGGTCTAGCTTGAGTTCTTTGAGGGTTCTCCATACTTCCTTCCAAATAGTTTGCAATAGTTTGCAGTCCCACCAGCAGTGTGAAAGTGTTCCCTTCTCTCCACACTCACGCCAGCATCTGCAGCTTTGAGACTTTGTGACATGGGCCATTCTCACTGGAGTTAGGTGATATCTCAGGGTGGTTTTGATTCACATTTCTCTAATGATTAGGGACCATGAGCGTTTTATCAAATGTTTCTTAGCCGTTCATCTGTCTTTGTCAGAGAAAGTTCTGTTCATGTCTCTTGCCCAGAGGTAGATAGGATTGTTTACTCTTTTTCTGTTGATTAATTTGAGTTCTCTGTAGACTCAAAGACTGTTATTTTTAGAACATAAGTCTGGTTTAGGATGCAGTATGTTTTTTAAAAATGAGATTAAAATTATTTTAAGAGGTAGAATAATCTATAAACCATAATTACTATTTATTCTAAAGCAAAGGATATAGGACCTGAGTCTTTTATTCGTGATCACCTCCAATGAGATAAGAATCTATGTAGCTGGTAGAAAAATGAGTCCATGACCAAAATGCTTACTCAGTAACTATAGGAGATCAAAGACTATTGTACTCAATCTGGACTCTTCTAAGACAAAGCAATTGTTTTCTTCGAATAGTAAGTAGCAATCAGAAGCGTTCTGGGATTCATCTGTGAAAGCACCCTCTGGGCCCTGGGAGTGACGTCTTAGGGACCCGCACGCATCTGAAGGTGGGAAGGGCAGGAGGTGGTGCTTGTGGCTGCTGTGGTTGTTGGGAAGTTCTCAGAAAATAGTACTGGAAATTCGATAATTGCTGATGTCATATCTTTAACAATAGAAAAAAAATCGCTGTCCTGGGGGGCTATAAAAGCAGCAGCTTCTATCTCCCCATCACAAGCAGACTCATCCTGACAGGTACGTGTCTCAGCAAACTTGGTGAAGTTGTGATTTCAACGTGATGCTCTAGACTAACGTTTCTCCTGCTGTTTCTCCCTCTTGTTTCTTGATAGCAGATTCTCCTTCCCCAGTTGCCGATTTCTCGAGTTGGACTTGCACAGCATGGCCGCCCGACAGGGACCCCTGAGCTGCTCCTTCCTGGGGACTCTGGCTGCCAGCTGCCTCCTTCTCATGGTCCTGTCGCTGCAGGGAGGGGTGGCTGCACCTCTGGGCTCCCACTGCAGGCTGGACAAATCCAACTTCCAGCAGCCGTACATCACCAACCGCACCTTCATGTTGGCTAAGGAGGTACAGCCCGGGCCCCGCTGTGACCTCTCCTCCTTCCTGCTGTGCTGGACTTGGCGGCAGAGCACGGCTCAGATCTTCACCCCACAGTGGGTGGCGACCTCCTCTGTCTCTTCAGAGTCCCTGGACATTGGTTTTTACCAAAGCTCCTTTCTTCCACTTTGGTCTTTAGCATACACAGCAGATGTGCCCTCAAAATGTGTATGCGTTTTAAGGAAGGAAGAATACTGTGTTAGAGTAGTAATACTCAAGCCATGTTTGACTTCCTTAATATAGGAGATACACGATATAACTCACAAGATGAACGTTATTGGTATATATCAAGTATTACAGTTTTAATACTGAAAGTCATACACATTTTGGGGGCACTCTATGTATGTGCCATTCAGTGGCCCATCTGATTATTAATTTTTTTTTGAAACGAGGTCTTACTCTGTCACTCTGGGTAGAGTGGTGTGGCATCATCGTGGCTCACAGCAACCTCAAACTCCTGGGCTCAAGAGATCCTTTTGCCTGTGTTTTTCTATTTTTAATAGAGATGAGGTCTTGCTGATTGCTCAGGCTGGGCTCAGAGTGCTTGGGCTCAGCCTCCCAGCGTGCTGGGGTCCCAGGTGTGAGCCACTGCACCCTGCCTGATTATTTTTCCCTTTACTCTGTGCATCATTCTCAACTCATCTCATGCACACACCTGAATTCTGGCCTTCATCTTCACAAGGGTACTCTGGGGAGAGGGTGGAGCACACTGTCCCTTCTTCTGTCTCCTCGGCACCGGGAACTTAGTTTTTCTTTCTCTTTCAGGCCAGCTTGGCAGATAACAACACAGATGTCCGTCTCATTGGGGAGAAACTGTTCCGTGGAGTCAATGTAAGCTGTAGTTGTGGGAAGCCATTCGTGGCTCCTCGGGTATGGGGATGGGGGCTTGATCTCCTGGAAGTCCCTAATTGCTCTGTCATCCACCTACAGATGGGGGAGCGCTGCTACCTGCTGAAGCAGGTGCTGAACTTCACCGTGGACGAGGTGCTGCTCCCCCAGCCCCACAGGTTCCAGCCCTACATGCAGGAGGTGGTGCCCTTCCTGGCCAGGCTCAGCACTAGACTGAGCTCCTGTGTGAGTTCTGCTCCCAGCCCACACCGCACACCCCAACTCCCTCCTTCCTCCCTTGAGATTCCCTTCTCCCAACAGCCGCGTCCCCTGCACCCTGCCCGTGCTGGCCGTACGCAGTACCTCTGTGATGCTACTTTCGGGAGGACCACAGAGTACTGGTGTTTGCTTTAATGGAGTCACTTCCTGAGTTAATGGTGGTTAATAGTGTCTGGAAGTCAAGTGTCCTGAAGGGTCATTAGTTCGTCCCTAGGGAAGAAGCAGCTTGGGTTCTGTATGGATGAGAAAGGTGTCAGTGCCTAGATGTGGGACGGGCTGAGAGGAGAGAATGGCAAAGAAACGAAGTGAGAGAGAAGGAGGGAAAGGGGAAGGCTTAGCACAGTCGGGGCGGGAAAGCCTGCTGCCCTTTGATGTCATGGGAGGTGTGTGAAGGCAGCTCTGGAGACTGAAAGCTGCAGAAGGTTTGAGAGGAGTGGGCACAGTGAGGCGCCTCCTGTGCGCTGAGAAGGGCCACTTTTCCAGTGAGGTGTTTCAAGTGTGTTTCTTGTTCTGAGCAATTTTGTTGAGGGTTTTATTCCTGGCAATTTGCATAAACCACAAGCACAGACCTCAGTCGGATTTCCCAAAGATGAAGAGAGGCCACCTGCAAAGGAAGTGACTGGAGATGGTGTCCAAGGGAATTCAAGAGCTCAGGAAATCTAGGTCACTGGTGAACTAGGTCATTGTGAGCAAAATTACTATGCTCTCTAATTCCAGATGAATCATAATACACCTCAGATGGGCACAGAGGTTCGTAAAGCTTCAGCACAATGATGTTAAAATAGTTCATCTGTTTTTATTTTGTAGCACATCGAGGGTGATGACCAGCACATCCAGAGGAATGTGCAAAAGCTGAAAGACACAGTGAGGAAGGTACGACTGGCCACTGCAGATGCCCCAGCCTGCGGTGGGAGGAACAAACGTTTCTCTTTCCTTTCCTTTCTTTCATTTTTCCCTCCCATTTTGTGATTTTTCATTTGATTCTCCAACAATTGGGTTGACGACTCGGGAGCCTGTGGGCCTAGATGTGTGTACAGATCTGTAAATGAAGACCCAAATTTTGCAAATCTCCGAATCCTAAAACTGGCAGGGAACGTAGGTCATCTGGTCATGTTACCCCAACTTCTGGGGATGGCCAGGGGCAGAGCCAGGGCTGGCATGCAGGGCTTCTGAACCCCAGGGCCTCACCTTTTCTAGTGGTAACACATGATGGTGTTGGTGTTATTGACTGTCAGGGAAATGTCAGATTCCTATTGACTTACGTTAATCTGAAGAAGTACTTGTCCTTCCTTTCTAATTTCTTTCTTGACCCACCCCACCCCCCCGCCGCAGCAAGTCCTTAGTGAAGTAGTACACATCCCATAGTCAATGATCCTTTCTGTGGCCTATTTGGTGGAAAGAGTAGCAGTGCTCTGATGCTCAGCTGTGGCTCACCCTGAAGCTGAGGAGTGAGCGGGAGCAGTGAGAGTGATGCTCTTGAGAGCAGGTCCGACTTACATGCCCAGAGACACAACAGCTCTCGTGGGAGGAATGTTTAGTAATGAGCATAATGTCTTTCCTTCTTTTTAAAATCTTGTTTTTAAAAACAGAATTTGTTTTTATTTTCTTATTTTTATTTTTGGCATCACAGCTCACAGCAACCTCAAACTCTTGGGCTTAAGAGATCCTCTTGCCTCAGCCTCCCAAGTAGCTAGGACTGTAGGCATATGCCACAATGCCCTGCTAAGTTTTTTGATTTTTCGTAGAGACAGGGTCTCACTTTTGCTCAGGCTGGTCTGGAACTTGTGAGCTCAAGCAATCCTTCTGCCTTGGCCTCCCAAGTGTTGGGGTCACAGGCTGAGCCATCCTGGCCATAAAAAGCATTATTCCTGAGCATAAGTTAATGAGCATGACTGTTTCTTCCTTTGATAATTGGAGGCTTTGTGTTGTTTTTATTGCGAGGCTCAATTTCTTGTTCTAGAACTGTTATCTAGAAGTAGAGGGCTGGATGTTAGCCTGTCATAGACAACTTCTTTTCCAAAAGATTCCTGATGCCAGCTTACTTTGTCGTCCTTAGAAAAGTAGAGTGTGAGAAAGAAAAATTGCACACCAAACTGTGTTTGGAAACAGATTTTTAAAGTCTTTCATCCATTTTGAGAGAATCAACTTTCATCTCTGAAAAAGGGTTGCCCTGTGGAAGGGTGAGGGTGCTTTGCTCTCGGAGGTGGCAGGAGAGGAATGGTGTTCGGACAGCGCAGAAGGCAGTGCTGGCCAGGGCTGTCTGAAGTGGGGGGCCTTCTTGGGAGGTGTCAGTCCCCTGACTGGGAGTGGAAGGGGGACCGCTGGAGCAGAATGCACAGCACACAGTAGGGTCAGATAGCTTTAAAATTTTTGTCATGTTGGAAGTTATGGAGATTATGAAAACATCTCAGCATCGTGTCAAGAAAGTATGGAAAGGTGGGAGGGAGAAGGACGCAGCAAGGGGAAGGGGAGGGAACAAAGTGCTGTGCAGAAGATGAAGAGGATGACAGGGCTTTTCTTGAAATGATGCAGATGTGGAAGATTGGATCAATTTCAGTGGGGGATGCTTTGGGCTTGAATTTCAGTTTTCTCTCCCACTGAGTTTGGGAGCCTCTTCTGGATACCACCTGGGCACCTCTGGAAGGAGGGAAAAGAATGGATGTTAGGACCTTTGTCTGGCTTTCTATTAAGGCAAGTGGAGAGGGCTTACTTGGTATCTTTCCCACAAAAGTGAAAATCTGGTGTTCTTTTCCTCTTTGTTGAGAAGGTGGGAACAGAAAAAGGCCCAGTGTATTGGTGAATATGTGATTCAAGGCTATTTGAGCTGAGCTGTTACAAATGGTTGGTCATGGTTGTGGCTATGAAGACATAGCAGGTGGCAGTTGGGCCCCCAGCTCCCAGCACTGCTTCCAGCTGCCTGCTCTAGTTAGGAAGGGCAGGGTCGATGCTCTGCCCAGCTCTGCTGCTCAGGTGAGGGACACCGGAGATTGGTGCCCTGGTGCCAGGATAGCCATGATTTTAAGGTCTTTGGTGCAATCATATGATGTTCTTACTAAAGGATATTATTATTAGCCTTTCACAAATGGCTAAAATTTGGTTTCTATCTCTAGCAACCTAATTATGCCAAATATATTCTTTAGAAAACACATTGTAAATGCTCAAATACTTCTGCATACTTATTTTCACAGCTTGGGGAGAGTGGAGAGATCAAAGCAATTGGAGAACTGGACCTGCTGTTCATGGCCCTGAGAAACGCCTGTGTTTCACCAGAGCAGAGCCAGGAATGAACAACTGAGTCGCCCCCCACCCCCACCCCCCACTCCCTTATCCCCTCCCACCCCCGCTAGAGCTGACTGTAAGAAGCCCAGAGGGACTTTTTACCTGGAGGGAAATGGGAACCAAACTCTACCATCACAGGTGATCCAAATGAACCCCTGCTTAGCTTAAAAAGGAAACAGTGTCACTCCTGTTTATGAGACCAGCTGGTAGGCTTTCTAAGTATAAAGATATTTATAACATTTTCAACTAAACCTAATGTTTTATATACAGAAAATAATTTATTTTATAAACAATCGTCTATTTCTATAAAAAAGATTACTTCCCATTCCTTTAGAGGGCAAAAAATCCCTAAACTTCATGCTTCTATAATTAATGTTTTATATTTATAAATGTATTTATTGTTATATGTATGCTTTTATTTATGCCATTTTATTCATATGGATTTATTTATGGAAACATTATTTGATATTGCTACTTGAGTATAATGTTAATATTTATAACAATAACTACGGACCTGTAACATGTCTATTTGGCCTCAGTAAATGTTTGGATGACCTAAGTCCTGTGGTTTGTGATTTTTCTCCTTTGGTGTCACCATCATCGTCACCATGCAATCACTCCCAGGATTTTACTCCTGGTTCTGAGCAAATGAGGTGGCTGTTACTATGATTCTACTATATAGATGAGAAAATGGCATTAGAGACATTCTAAGAAACGATTTATAGCTGTAAGTGCCATCTGATACGGATATATTATGTTGATCAGTATGTATGTAATTCTCAAAGAAAGGTAAGAAATTGAAAAGAATCCATCTGCATCATTAGTGGTTTATGATAAAAGAAGGGGGTGACACTGCTGGGGAGAAGCTCACAGAGCCTCCCCTGCTGTGCGTGAACGGTCTCAGTTCCAGTTCAAGCCCATCACCAAGTGCGTTCTCCAGTCTTCCCAGGGTAAAGTAAGAAATGCAGGGCAGCTGAGCTTCAGGGGAGTTCTCTATAGTGGAGTTTAGCACTGATAGAAAAGTCTTGTAGGGGAAAGATGGGCAAAACACGAAACACACACACACATAGTTCGTACCTCTTTAAAATCTGCAGTGGGGCAGACGTGGGGATGAAGGTTGGCTTAGCTCTGCTAAGAAGCAGCACTGAGAAGCCACCCTTGGGGACAAGGGGCTTGAAACATTGGAAAGGTCTTTTTAGAGAAGCTCAAAATTAATGATCAAAGGAGTCGGGAGTCAGCCGTTTAAAGCGTTTCCTTCTCTGAACAGGCATAAACTGTGGGTCTCTTCTGTGGTTCACTCCCACCTTGTTTGCCAAATCCCCACAGGATTAGGTCAGGGCTGGTGTGATAGATGAGAATATATGTAGAATTGCAGGATCACGGGTAGGTAAAGGGAAGCCAGTACCTTGGGTTTGGTCTCTCAATGCTCAGAGGCACCAGAGTCGGCTCCAGGAGAGAGAGAATTAGCACTTCTGGGAAGAGCCGGGCAGCAGCTCTCTGGGCTCTTCTCCTCCGAATGGGTCTCAGTGTCATGATGGGAGCAAACTTTGATATTGCACTTATTTTGGACCAATCTTCTAGAAATTGAACCGTAAGAGGACGGCTACCCCTAAAATTGTAAGGTTTTTCTAAGAGACACTAGAATTTTTCCATAATGTCAGATGTATTTCAGAAACAGCTAGAGTCAACCTTGGGTTCTTCCTTCCCAACCTGCACGTTGACTGTCAGGAATCCTGTCTGCTGTAACTCAAGACTACTGGCTGCATCTGCTCCCTCCTCATTCCCTCAGTGGTTAAAGCCTACCCATGACACCATGCTCTTTCCTCCAAACTATTAGTGTCATACACTGTAGTTTCAAAACGCCTCCCTACCATCTGTTTTTAACTCAGGAGCCAAAGTTAACTTAAAACTGAAAAGCATTTTGGGCACTTCCCTGCTTCCTCCAGTGGCCTCACGACCTTCTGCCTCATGTCAGCCATCCAGACTGCCCTTCCCTGAGCTGCCAGCACAGGCCTCCTCCCTGGGCAGCCACACACCAGCCGTACTCCTGCCTCTGAGCCTCTGTACCTGCTGTTCCCTGTGCCCAGAACAATCTCCCCACACATTTCATGGTCATTCCCTCCCTTCAGTCAGGTCCTTGCCCAAATGTTATTGCCTCAGAAAGACCCATTCTCACCACTCTGCCAAAAAGAGCCTCCTCACTGCCTTCCACATTCTCCCTGCTACCTCTCACCCCCACTTCGTTTTTCTTTGTTGTACTTATGAGGTCTAACAATTAAGTTTGTGAACTTGCCACTGTGCACTTGTGCTGTACAAACGGCTCCATCAGGTTTCATAACCTTGGTGTATGGGCATCTCACAGCTGTGTTTGTGTCAACATGAGTCTGTGTCTTGCTGAGTGACGTTCATTATTGTTGTCACATGTTTGTCTGTGTTCTCATGAGAATGTCAGAGCTTGAATTAGAGCAAGGAAAAATTATTAATTTTTTTGTTAAACCCTGGCAAGAGTGGAAGTGAATTCAATGACGTGTCAGTCCAAGTTTATGGGGGAAAATGCTGTGAAGAAAATGGCAGTGTACAAAGATAGAGCATCACCCATGGAGAGAGGCCAGGGTGGCCAGCAATAAGCAGAACTGGCAAAAAGATTACAAAAATGTGTTGACTTGTGTATCAAAATATTCATCTGACTATGAGAAGCATAGCAGACCAGTAAATATCAACAGAGAAATAATTAGGAAAGTCTTAACTGAAAATCTTGGCATGAGAAAGGTGTGTGCAAAAATGGTCCCAAAGGAGCTCCCTGATTAACAAAAGCACAGGAGAGTGGAAGTTTGCTGAGATCTTTTAGAGAGGGAAGATGCTATTTTGGGCCATGTTACCAGTGGTGGGTATTCCAATATGATGCTGAAACAAAGTGTCAGAGTTCACAATGGAAGTCAGCCTGTTCTCCATGACCAAAAATGTTCCATCAATCTAAATCAAGAGTCAAAAGGATATTGCTAACCTTTTTTTGATATAAGAGGAATTGTTCATTATGAATTTGTACCATCTGGACAGTTCACCAAGTTTACTATTTGGAAGTACTGAAAGGCTGAGTGAAAAGTTAGATGAAAACAACCTGAACTTTTCACCAATAACTCAGGGCTCTTGCATCACAGCAATGCACCAGCTTACACGGCACTGTCTGTGAGGCAGTTTTTAACCAATAAACAAGGTATTTTTGGAAAACCCTCCTTACTCACCTGATTTGGGCTCCAGTGAAGAAAATGGAAATATTGAAAGGAAGACATTTTGAGGACACACAAAACATCAAAGGTAATATGACAACAGCTCTGATGTCCATCCCAGGAAAAGAGTTCCAAAATTGCTTTGAAGGGTGAACTGGACACTGTCGCTGGTACACGGCTTCCCAAGGGGAGGACTCTGAAAGAGACTGTAGTGATATTCAGCAATGAGGAGCCCAGCACTTTTCTAGGATGAGTTCTCAAGTTTAATTGTCAGACCTTATACCAGACATGAAGGATGTTACTTATTTCCTTTGGCCATTGATTTAACTTGTAGGGTGGGTTTGGGCTCTAAGCGCTGAGAGGCGCCTGTGTCAAGCTCCAGGGATGATGGAATTGTTATTTCTGGGTGTTAACTCTATGCCCTGGTTATGGTGGTAAGTACCACGCAGATGGGCCTGGCCTCCTGGAGCTCACATTCCAATGTAAACAGAACGGGGGTGCAGTCAATGGGAGCACCATGAATGCTATGAGGAGCTACGGAGGAGGGCGTGGGACACACGATGTAGACAGAACAGGGGTGCAGTCAATGGCAGCACCATGACTACTATGAGGAGCGAAGGAGGATGGTGTGTGGTGCCGCCTGCTGCAGGTGCTGCAAGTGAGGAGATCTGGAAAGGCCTCTAGGAGGAGCAGGTGCCTGGCTAAGGGGCTGAGTGAGAGTGTCTGGGGATACCACCCCAAGATGGGTACATTTGGGGAGTTCAAGAAGCAGCAGGGATATTGGGGCTGGAGCAGGTGGGGTGAGAGGCAAAATAAGCCAGAGGGTTGGCCGGGACCAGGCCTGTGGGGCCCTGTTGCCAGGCCTGACTTTGGTTGTAAGGAGGAGGAGAAGCTACTGAAGGGTGTGGAGCACAGAAAGAGTCCCTGTGGCTTGGGCTTTATAAAGGTCACTTGGCTGCAGGCAAAGTCAGTCCAGAAGGGGTAGGACAGAAAGAATAAGGCCAGAGCAAGAGCAGGGAAGAGGTATAGATGGCACAGGGCAGGTGGAACAGAGCCAGGGGTGGCCCATGATGTCACGGCGACTCCTGGCGTGGGCTGCCTGGGAGACAGGAGCTGTGTGTGGCTTGTGTATAACAGGAAAAGGAGTCCCTTGGTTTTCTGCTGGTCCTTCATTCATGCTTGGGTACCAACCAGTAGAACACAACTGTGCTCTGATGAGAAGATCTGAGCGAAGACACCTCAGACAAAGAGGATGATGGAACACCAGTGGCTGGAGGCATAGGTTTCCTATCTCAGAGGCAAGCACAGCCACAGTGAGTTTATCTTTAAAATCTATTTTCAAAAATTTTTTTTCTTTTTTTTATTAAGTCATTCATACATTTATCATAGGTACATTTATGCCATCATAGGATTCAATGTGTCGATTATTTGTACAAATTGGAATACTTACATCCTACTAAACAATATAGCCTTCACCTCATTTGCCCAATTACAGGAGTAAGACATTTATGCGCTACACCTGATAGATCCAACTTTTACTTGCAATATGCTCCATAGGTGTGATCCCCCTACCAATCCTCCAGCTATAGACCCAAACCCTTCCTTCCCCTCTCTCTCCCCTTCCCTCCATTATCCTAGGCTAAAGTTGTGTTTCATTTTTCACATGCATGTGTAAGTAATTGTAAATTGGTTTCACAGTAGTACTGAGTTCATTGGATATTTTTTTTTCCATTCCTGAGATACTTTACTAAGGAGAATATTTTCCAGCTCCATCCATATAA